CTTTGTTGTGTCTTCCTCCAGTCATCCAGTTATTCTGATGTCGTTCCTCTTCATAGCATCAGACATAGCTCTTAGGTTTTCTTCAGCTTCTCTGATGATCGTAATAGATTTTTGTTGGCGTGTGTTAAAGTCTGCTTGGGGTTCCTCCAAGTCACTGGTGCTGTTCTCTTGTTTCCTCCTGTCGGTTGGTGAAGTCTGTGAGTCTGCTACTGGTTTTTGTTACCTCGTCCCTAAGCTCTTGCAGTTCCCTTTGGTATCTCCTCTACCATTTCATCCTTTTTCTGTATTGTGTCTCTCATATCCTGTATGACTCCAAGCAGCATTCTGAAAATTTCCTTCTGCAGCAGATCAGTGTCTGCTTCTATGCACGTCGTTAGGTTCAGGACATCTTCTGCCATTGCCTTTTGTTTCTCCGGGTGTTTTTGTTGAGGTCGTTGGGGCTGGTGGCTGTTTCCGTTGTGTTGTTTTAGAGGAGCCCAGTGCCATTTTCCAGGGAGTTGAAAAGTACTGGCTCTCTCTGGGAGACTCGTAGGAATGCTTCTTGAACTGCCTGCAGCTAATTGCCTACCACTTTATCCTCCTGTGGCTTCACTCTTTCCCTAGTCAATCAATATTATGTTATTTTGAAGGCAAGTTGGGTGGTCCTCTTGGTTGGGTGGTTGTGGACCCTCGAGGATGGTGCTGTACTGGGTGATTTCACAAGAAGCTGTGATGGTGTGGCCCACGGCAGCTTAGGGCACCGCAGTGGGCATGCAGAGGTGCCTACTACAATGGGAATGCCACAGAAAGCTGGTGGGTTGCCTGCTTTGGTGTAGAGCACTGCGATTGGTGAGCAGAATTGCTTTGGTCAAGTAGGTCGCTGCAGAGGCTTGGCAGAGGTTTCTGCAGCAGCGTGGCGCATTGGCAAGTGTTGGCCAAGCTGCCGTAGGCCTTGTGAGGTACTACAGCAGGCCGGAGAAAGTTTCCTCAGTCCTGTGGGACCACGGAGGATGGGCAGGATTGCCCCTGAAGAAGGTGGGCGGGATATCACCAGCCTCAGGTTATACTGCAGAGGGTAGAGCTCTCCCAGCTGGGTCAGGGGGCAGGTGCAAATGCCCTAGGCTAAGGGGAGTGGTCTGGTGGTCAGTGGCGCGTGAGAGAAAAGGGAAGAGGGAAAAAAAATGGCCACTGAGACTGTCGGGGGACAGAGAGAAGAGAGGGAAACAAAAGTAACAGTATAGCTGACCCCCAATCCCTGACCATGGGGCTGAAGGGATTTAAACCCTGCCCCGAGGTGGTGGCAAGTTGTGGCTGTGTTGAGACAAAGTCTCTACGCTGCCTCCAAATGATCCTGGCTCCAGCCATGACAGTGGCAGGGGCTAAAGTCAAACCCTAGCTGGCCTCCACTGTGGTCAGTCAAAAGCCCCCAGGTCCTCAAAACCCAGTGGATCTGTGCCTACTTATTTTTATGATGCTCCTCCTGTGACCCGGCATTGTGGAATTCCCCTCTTAGTAACTCCTGCGCTGATTTCTGTGGAGTCCCTCTGGTATGTGTTCCTCAGTCGCCATCTTCCCGGAAGTCGACAACGTGTCCAAAGTACGTGCCATCCATGCATCCAAGGACCATTCTGGCTGTACATCTTCGGACGCTGACTTGTTTGTTCTTTTGGAAGTCTGTGGCACTTTAAATAACATTTAAATAACATTTAAATAACATTTGCCAACACCCTCGTTCAAGTGCATCAATTCTTCTCCAGTATTCCTTACTCCACGTCCAACTTTTCACATATGTATGAGGCTGAAAATACCATGGCTTGGGTTACATGTACCTAAGTCCTCGGAGTAACCTCCCTGCTTTTCAATACTGTGAAGAGGTCTTGTGTGGCAGATTTATCCAATACACTGTGTCATTTGATTTTCTGAGTGCTGTTTCCATGAGCATTGATTGTGGGTCCAAGAAAGAGGAGATCCTTGACAACTTCCATCGTTTCTCCATTTGTCATGGCCCGTTTGAGGTTTTGGGTCTTTTTTATAGTGTTATAATCCATACCGAAGGCCATAATCCTTGATCCTCATCAGCAAGTGTTTGAAGTTTCACTTTCAGCAAGCAAGGTTGTGTGCACATCTGTATATTACAGTTTGTTTCCTCTGAGATCTACTTATATGCTATTGTTATTATTGGAGCTCATAATATTGAACCAGCCTTGTGATCCTAGAGTAATTACCACATGCTTTCTGTATTATATTCTTAATTTGATTTGGGGTTCTATTTGCTATTGAATTTTTACAATCGATGATATTGTCTAGGCTTTTCTCTTTTTTTGTATTGTCTTTATTAGCTTTGCGTACCGGTATCATACTTGCTTTATAAAATTAAATAGGAAATGTTCCTTCATGTTCAGGGTTCTGAAACAAGCCCTGCTCTGTGGGGACTGTGGGGCGTTGAGGGCACAGTAGAAATCCCCTGTGCAGTCACACCACCCTCTGTTGGCTGGATCTTTGGTCTGTCTCTCTCACTCTCTCTCTCTCTCCTGTGTCAGGTTGCGATCAGTAAGCAGGTTAGTTTTAGCTAACACAGTTTCCTTAGCACATTATCATCTCCCACCAGGGTTTCAGACGGATCTCATAGATGCCTGCAAAGTGGCCTCACCCACCCGCCTGTCGTGTCCGTATCAATGCTTTATCCCCTTCCTCTTGAATAAGTTAGTGTTGGTCTGTTTTATTTTTCAATAACCAGGTCCTTGATCTACGTCTTAGGTTTTACATTTACCTATTTCCATGTGTTTTTGCTGTTCTTCTTAATTTTTGAGCCATGCTAACAACTTTTCTTAAGAAAAATGTTTAGCTCTTTGAAATTTTTTCAGATGGATAGTTTCCATGAATAATTATTAAATAATTTAAGAATGCCTGTTACCTTAATTTGTTTTGCACCCCCTGTCACCCAATTAGATGACTATATTTCCAGTTGGAAGTTTTCTTTTGGTTAATCGTTTGTAATTTTTTTGTACTAAGATCAGAAGAATATTGCTTATACTACTTCTGCTTCTGAAAAGTACTGATATTTTCTCTGTGCAGCATACGGTCGCTTTTGTGGGCGATTTCTGTGCGCGCATGTACACACACACACACACACACACACACACACACACGGAAAGCACATGCTGTACCGTGTTGGATGGCAGTTCTGTAGACCGTGTCTGGATAGTCTTCTGATGAACAGAATGGTTTAATTATGCGGTCCCTGAACATTTTTGAGTTTTGCCTCCTGCACATTTGCTGCTGTGTGTGACTGTCCGCCACCAAGCAACGTGGGGGACCATAGTTCTCTCCTGTATTTCCCTCCAGACACCCACGGTTTCCGTGGGGCTCCAGCTCCAGGGTATTGCTGTGAGTGGGCAGGTGTGGAGCATTTGTCAGGTGCGGTGTCAGCCGTCAGACTTGTTTGCTGTGCTGATGGTGGCCCACCAGCAGGCCGCAGCTGTGCTGCCTCTGGTGCCCAGCCAAGGACGAAGCTGGATCTTTGTTCATGATGGACTCCCGGGACCCATCCCCTGGGGATGCGAAGGTGTAGAGACACCTTTAGCACAGAAGTGATTCGGTCTCTACTGCACCATCCACAGACACAGCAGTCAAGGCAGGGCCTCTGTAGGGAGAGTGGCGGGTCACCTGGGATCCAACCAATGGGGGGAGGGTGGTGGTAGTGCACAGGTGACCTCCGGGTGCAGAGCATTTGTGACTGATTGGGGCTGCGGAAGCCCGTGCACAGGAGGAACATGGCCTGTGCTTGCTCAGAGCAGCCCAGGGAGTCAGGGACTGCCTCGGACACGTCCCGGTTTGGTGTGGGCTAGGCAGCAGGGACAGTTCTCTGCAGCTTAGGTCCCCAGAACCCTCCCATGCTCCACTGTAGCCTAGTGAGTGGGTTGTGTACCCACTCTCCCACCCTGACCTGCCCATCCAAACGACTGCCCTTGATCACAGGTGGCCAGGATTATGTGTTCCAGGCACCTCAGAGGGCCATTTGTAGGCTCTCACTAACAGGTGGTTTGGGATGTGTGTGTGTGTGTGTGTCACTTAAGTTTGATCAGCGGATCTGTTTGCCGGAACAGGAGTGTGACTCACCTCTTTTGCTTTGCAGACGATGTCTTCCTGCCCAAAGATATCGACCTGGACAGTGTGGACATGGATGAGACTGAGAGGGAGGTGGAGCACTTCAAAAGGTAAAGGGTAGCGCTGGCTGCCAGAGAGGACACCTCCCTCATTCACTCACGCAGGCTCTTACCATCTCACCCCCACCTTCCTGGGTGCTGAGATTCCGAAGGTGGCCCTGGAACAGCAGCATCCCCTGGGACCCTGTGGGAGCCCAGGTCCTCCCCACACTCGGCTGCAGCCTCTGAGCCCTCTGACAGGCGTCAGAAGAGACGGAGGTGGTACGCTGCATGTACAAGCCTAGGGACACTGGGCAGGTCCCCTCAGTGCTGTGCTCAGTCGTCTATCAGGTGCATGCAGAGAGCCAGTTTGCTTTGTCCTTGGAGATTCCTCATCCTCTTTCAGGTGAAAACACAGCAAAAAGGCCAGTGGGTTTGCAGAACACAGCGCCGTGCTGTCCCTTCTAAACTCTTCTGCAGTCCAGAGTGCTGTAGGCAGTGCGCACAGCGATACAGACCGTCCCACCCAGTTCGTTCTAAAGTCGCCTTCAGACACCGGAAAGTCGGAGAACTGAACCTACTTGTCCCGTAAGAAATAATGGAAAACCAAATCATTGTTTCTGAGGCCCTAAATTACACTGAAAATCCCTTTCCCATGACCTTAACACAAAGTTAACAGCTCTACACCCCTAAAACATCTAAACACCATGAATACTGTACATTAATTTTTTTAAGTAAATGAAATTAGGATATCTGGCACAGATACAGTGCAAAAACACCCCACAAGGACAAATGTGTTAATGCCGCCTACGCCAGCTGATGTTGTCTAGGTGAGAGCAGTGCTTGGCTGGACACAGCACGTGGCTCACAGGTGTTTGCAAGTTGGATTTTCGCTTCAACTATTGAGCCAAAGCTAAAAGCATGCACATTTTTTTTTCAAACTTTGCTGTTTCGGTACTGAGAAGTTTGACCACTGAAGTATCACCGTATATTTTTATATGTGTGGGCACATGCACATGTATACACACAAGGGCCTTCAGGAGGTTTGTGGGAAAATGGAGTGAAAAACAATTGAATTTTCCCACAACTTTCGAAGCCCTGGAGTCGAGTGCACATGTATGTCTGCATGAAAGATCATGGTTATCCCAGAAGATGGGGAAGAGCATCTGCGAAAGTTGGGCATGCAGCCAAGCAAAACTGGAAAGCCAGGCGCTTTGAGGAGGTAATACAGAAGAGAGGCTTCAGCACACATCAGAATTGGAGGGGAAACGTGAACACTGACAGTGGGTGGAAGGCACGGGAAGAAGGGGTATGGGGAACAAGGTCACCTGTTACCAGGACTCCCTTCCATAAAGAAGAAACAAATGGGTTAAGAATTAGAAGGAAGAAATGAAGTTGTCATTGATACCTGCTGATAGTATATTTTTTTCTTTTTCATTGAAATGTTCTCTGTAGGTAATTTTTTTTTTTATGGTAGGGACAGCTTGGCAAGATTGTTTGACACAGAGCCAGTATACAGGGCTGTGCATCTGGCAACTAGACACTTGAAGGGACCTCAGGCCCTGTCCCCAGCCCTTCAATACACTCTTCCACTCCTTGAGGTACTTCTGGTCTTGGGATGAGCGAGCAAGAGCGGTTTCTAGGCGTGTGAGCTAGTGGGGTGGAGTGGGGAAAGGTTGCTGGGAGACCAGGGCTCGAGGTGTGCAGAGCTGAGGTGAGAGCACCAGGTATACGGAGTCAATCACCAGGACCTCATGGGGCCAAAGCCAGGGAGGAAGGAGCCGGGCTGGATGACAATGACTTTGTGAGGAGTGAGGGGAGCCAGGGGTATTCCCTGGCTGTGGGCAGGTTTCAGGGAGGCCAGCCTGGAGGACCATTTCTTACAGTCACGCATAGAAACTCTCAGGTGCCCAGGACGTGGGGAACAAACTAGAAACGTTAGACCACAAATTAGTAGATGCCATCAAAGAGGGAAACTGTGAATTGGAAGGCCTTCAAATAGCAAGTATGGAGATTAGGAAAATAGAAAACAGTAAAGGAATTAGAGGCAGAGGAGAAACAGGCCGGTTTAATTGTGGGGGCCCTAATGAGAGAATGTGGAGACTACGGAAAAGGCAGGAGCTGCAGAGACGGTGCCAAAGGCCTTTGTGGACTTGGTTCTGTGCCATCGCATCAGTTCCGAGCCAGCGCGTCCCTGTGCACGACAGGGAGGGTGAGAGACTGGCCGGTCTCGCTTGCTGCACTTAGCTCTTGTGCTAACAGTCTCCCATGGTGAGAGAGACTCCAAGGAAAGGAGATTCCGGGTTGGCCAATGATGATGCATGCAAGTTAAGAGGGTATGGACAGGTCAGAGGCGAGTCTTCCCCAGCCCTGTCACTGTTCAGTCGGCCCCAGACATTCTCAGCATCATCCTTAGTTTGGTGGGATGGTCAGTGGGGACATTCAAAATCAGCATTAGAAGTGCAGAAATAGGGTACACACACTGTCCAGAGAGGAAATGGGGCAGGGTAGAACACACACAACAAATTAAAACCTCCAAAGAGGATGGGAAAGGGGAGGTGTTGTGAGAAACAGAGGATTTCTCTTAAGTTGTCTCCCCAAAATATATGCCAGACTTAGCTTGAGAATGACTGTTCATTAGGCAGCGAAAATAGGTCAGAGGTTATTCTC